CTCATAAATTATTTTTTAAAAATCAGTCTTTCTTTTTATGATTCTTGATAGATGGCCAGCATCTTTGTGAGTATAACGAATCGCTCTTCGTATTATTAACTCAAAAATCGAAATGACACGCAATTTAAGTATCGGAGTACAATCATATTTATGAAAGTTATAAGAATAACTTCCTTAAACGAATATTAAATTAAAGTTATCACATTTTGCGTCACACGCAAGGAAAAATGACGGAAATGTTTTTCAGATTTCTTGGCGGTAATGGAATTCCAGCTAAATGTTCATTATTATCTCAAAGAAATTATTTTTTATAAGCATCCATTTTTATATTATTATTATACTTGATGAATATGGTATCATATTTCGGAATATAACGAAAAGCTCTTCTTATTAACTCGCAGCTCGCAATTTAAGAATCGAAGTACAATTATATATATTTATGAAAGCTCTAAACATAACCTATTTTAATTGAGATAAAATTAAAATTATGAAATTTTGCTTTACTCGCTAAGGAAAACCATGAAAACGTTTTCCAGATTGCTTTTGCCGGTAATAGGATTCCAGCTAAATGTTCATTATATCAAATAATTTATTTTTTAATAATCGATCATTTTTTTTATCATCCTTGATAGATGGACTATCATCTGTGTTTTCATCTTCGGATCATCCTCAGGGATGATTCGAAGACATGTGACAGTAATTTTGATCCTCTGTAAAAGGTATATTGATCCTCTGTAAAGTAATTGTAGTTAACTGCAAAAATAATGTCATTTTTCCGACCACTGACCGAATTCTACTCTTTTGCTTGTAATTGCGTAAGACGCACGTGCAACTGCTTAGAAACTAGCTTAAAAACAAGACTAGCTTCTTGCGCCGCACACTGCATTGACGTGTGATTGCATACGCGAATCATACGCAGTGAGAATTCTCCATTTTTTAGGGCCAATCATACATTACGCAAAAAATTACCTTAATGAAATTTGGTATTACGGACGAGAGCTTGATTGGTGAAATATGTTAACCAGTATAAAGTTCACCAATCAGGTTTGCTTTCTCATCTCCAAATTCGCACATGCGATTTTTTTTCCCATACAGTATGAATGGCCCTTTCAATTTTGAGCACAACTATATCTTTTACTCAAGATCGATAAGACTCGGTTCCCAGCAGATCTCCGAAGTCAAGCATCACTAGCTGCGATCAGTGCGCTGGGGTGTGACCACTTGGATCAGTCTACTTAGGGACCGAGGGTGTGTGGTATTGGTCCAACTGATCTACCGTAAAGTGCTCGACTTCGTGTGCAGGTCGTCGGGCTACCGAAGCGGGGGTGCCATCCCCTCTGCAGAGGATCAAAATTGTAATGGCATGTCTTTGTCTTCGGATCATCCTCAGGGATATTTCCTAGATCGTCGCCAAGAGCCCATTGTGCAGCTCTAGTGCGACGTATACGAACTACAACAACTATAGTCAATTGTTTATTTTCTGACTTAGCTAAGATAACTGTTGATCAAGTTTATAGCAAGGATGTAAATATTTTGTTCAAAAAGGCCTAATTTTTGCTCTTAATATAAACAAAAACCGGTTCTGAGCTTGCCAAAAGGTTTTCCCTTTCTCAAGCGTACATTGGCGATAGGAATGGGCTACATTGGCGTAGAGCAGAAATCTGGACTTACGGCAACATTCCGCATGCTGTCAACAATAGCTTGTGGAGAGCCAAGGAAGAAGGAAGTACGTTAGTTTCTGTCTTGATTTTCAAGTAGATTAAAATCTTTTAAGTTAAGAAACTATATGGAGCTGAAAACTACTTTAAGCATAGTTCTAAAAGAAAGCATCATGGAAATTTTACAAAATATTTTTTAAAAAAATTAAATACGAGAAATAATAAGAGAAGGAAAAATATCGTAGCACAATCCCTATACAACTGAAAAAAGGAGAAGGGCCAAAGGCATGGAACCGGTCTTCTCTCCAGATGACGTATTCGAGCGTTGCGAAGCTCATGAAACAATACTTGTTACATAAAATAACCGGTTGATCCAGAACTCTTTTCGTTATCCCTCTTTAAGTTATCCCTCTTTTTAGTAAAATCTTGCAATTAAAAAAAAATAACCTGGGTGGCTACATACGACACATCCCGTTAAACAGGAAGGGCACATTTACACGCCATCCATCCGCTGCTGTTGCTGTAGGTGTGGTTCATTTATGTCGCACTAGAGCTGCGCAATGGGCTATTGGCGACGGCCTGGAAACATCCCTGAGGATGATCCGAAGGCATGCGATCACAATTTTGATCCTACGCAGAGAGGATGGCACCCCCATTTCGGTAGCCCGGCAACCTGCATGCGAACCATCCGTTGCAGATTGTATTTTTGACCTGAAACAGAGCATTACCAATCTCCGATCCAGTACCCCCAGAAGTATTGATTAGTTATGGGAACTTTATGATCCCGACAGATTTAGAATGGCACCAGTCACCATTTTGTACACGGGGAGTCTTCGGCCGGCCGGGATTGAACTCACGACCTCTCGAACACGGGACCCAACGCCTTACCAGCCAGGCTATCGCGGCTCCACTTCGCACATATGAATTTCAAATGTGAATAATATATACGATTTTGTGTCATAGCTTGAGAAACAGCAGGAGAAATTTTTTTTAAAATTAATTTTGCATTCATAATTAAAAATGACGTAATTTATCTAAACGCAGTTTTACATCATATTTGTCACAGAAGTAACATAAAACTTCTAAAAAATTTAATTTTTTTTTAATAACAGTAAAACAGGTAACTTAATATCTTTATTAGAAAATATTGGATAACAAGACAATATCGTAAGATTACTCTACTATAAAATAAAGAAACAGCTCTTTCAATTTTAAGCCTTTTATAGAGATGCCTAAGTTGACGTCACTTCTCTTACCTGTCTACTGGTAATCCAGCAATGATCAATCAGTCAATATGTTTCAATGATCAATACGTTTGTATTGGGAAATGGATATGAATTGCTCAATAGGAATGGTGCAAATGATAACTGATTAATTTGCTCCACTTAGTGATACAGTTCAGCTCTGGCTTGGACATTTCTATTTTGAAGAGCAATCTATTTTGAACAGCAGTTTGAATAGAAAATAACATTTGAGAGTACTGGTAAATTCCACTGAAGAAAAGGAATGAGTACATAATTTAAAAGTAATTATTGCGGTTACTTATATTTATTTCCTTCTGATATTGACAACAAAAGATTTCTCTTTCTTTTTTTAGATATGAACACATCATGTGATCTTTCTGTTCACCCAAAATGATAAAATGACAATTATCCTTTTATGATGCTTAAATTTGTGAAATGAAAGGAGAAACTTAACACGAAATAAAATTAAACAAGAAATATTTTCTAGGTATTTTTTATTTAAGTATTTATAAAAATACATTATATAGCATGCAAATTTGAAGATAACCTTAAAGGTAATAATTTTCTACAAAATAATATTAATAAAACTAGTTTACAGAATAACCATTCATTCTGGTTAATTTATTCAAACATTCTGGTTAATTTAAAACTGAAACTATATGGTTTCATTAAATAGAAACTTTTGTGTAGGTGATATTTGAAAACTATACAAATGGATAAAAACTATCATAGTTAAAAAAATAAATAAATGAATTCTAAAATCCAGCTGAAAAAACAGACAAATAAGAACCGTAATACCTTTCACCCATGGAAAAGTGCTTCCAAGTTATTATAAAATAGTTTATTTCATTATATTTTTTTAAAAATTTTTTGTTCAAAATTAAAAGATTTATGATCACTCCAAGAAAATGTCAAGTTTTTATTATTTTACTGATGGAAACTACTAAAAATAAATTGTAATAATCTAAGGACCCCGACAAAGTGCGGATAGAGTTTTAACAAAAATTATTGCATTAAAAAAACATATTTTAGACTTCTACCTAATAAAGAAACATGGCGGATTATCAATAATTGAAATATTGCTTTATAATTTTGCTAATATTTAATGCTGCTAAATTCAACAACAAGCTATGTCCGAAAATATTATAATCTGAAGAGAAAAAAAAAATTTTTCTTCAAACACAACTAATTTAAAATTTTAAAAGAATGGGCTGAAAAATTTTCTCCAAACTCCAAAAATCTAATATTTTATTGAATTAAAAAGTTTAAAAGTTAAAATTGAATTAAAAGTTTTATAAGTCGTTCACTCATTCTGCATAATGCTACTTTATACAGATAATATACAGTTGTTTTCGTATATAATCGTAAATAAAAGTTCTCAAGGGATATTTCGAAGGATATTTCGATAGGATATTTCGATAGGATATTTCGAAAAATTTTTAAAAAATCAACAAAATTAAAAAATATATATATATAGCTTGAAAATCAATACATAAAAAAAATTTACAATTCATTCTCTGGATAATATTGCAAAACCATGTCAAAATGCATTTTGACTTTTCATTCTACAGTTAATATTTCAACTTCAAATATTATGATTTTATGAAATTAAAATAACTTTAATTAAGGTGTTTCATATAAATATACAAATTATATATGCATATATTACTATATATATATATGACCCTTGGAAACATGAATAGGTGCTGATGAAGTAAAAAAGCTATAATTAAACTGAGATTCAAGATAACATATTTTCCTAATTTAGTGTAATCTTATAACCGATTCATTTTTTTTTAAAAGAAAAAAGATAAGCTGATTTTTAAAAAAATGGTGCTTACGACTTTATAATCTGAATACATGAATGAAGAAATAGTAAACAATAAACTAAAAAAATTGAAGGAAAAATGGAGATTTTAACATTTTTATTAAAATATATATTTTTCTAAATGATTATTGCCTTATTCCATAATGCAAATTTTTATGATAATAAAGTTTAATGCGTAAAGGTGTGGTTTTTCAAGGCTATACAACAACAATAATTTTATGTACAAATCATACATTTTTAAAAAATATGAAAGTATGAAATATATAAGTATTTTCACTCTGATTTTATTGGAATAAACCAATGCATATAGTCATTTTCAAAAACGTGTAACGTTGTTCCATCAATCAGTTCCTTACTGCTTTCTAAGTCACTGAAACAAAAGGAAAAAACATGTGTAATTAAATATTATTTTTTAAAATCATTTTTAAATAATATTTTTTAGTTACTGTTATGTAATTATGGAAATATAGACATTGCTATAATCGGCAACAATTCACTGAATCCCAGATTTTGCATCACGAACCCGAACCCGCCGCTTTGTCGCTCTCTATTGAATACTTTCATTTAGCGGTTAAAAAAAGGCATGTAGCATAACGTGTTTTGGCTGCAAAGGAGGGGAATTCTTACTCTCCTCTCCTCTACTCCACATCGATTAATCTAAAAATTATTGATTAAAAAAAAAAATGAGTAATGCATTTAAAATTCATAACTGGGTATCGTGCACAGAATTATATTTACTGTTGAAAAATGTAATTTATTAAAAATAATAATAACTATACTTTCAAACGCTGCATTGATCTGGTTTTCATTTAAGCAAATTAATAAACGTAATAACATATAAAAAATATAAAAATATGCTCAACGAAAAATGAAACGATGTTCAAAGGAAAATATAGAGTTACTAAATTTTTTAACAAAAAATCTGTTGTTCTAGAATCTAGATGGTATAGTCATTTTGTTTTGCATAGCAAATTTTCAAACTGTAAATTTTTTATTTGTAAAGGCGTGATTTTTAAGAACACATAATTCAATAAACATAACTCAAGCATTCATAGTTACTCGATTAATAAATTCACGAATTTGTCTCGGTGAACTGAAATCACCTCCCTTATTTTATCAAAATAATTGTCTAAAATGAAGTAAAAAAATATACACAATCGGCATTGCCAAAGAAAAAAATAACCAGCAGGGAGTCATCAAAATCTGAAGAATCATTACTAAGATCTATCAAAGTGAAGTGAGGGTTAAAAGCTATTAAAATCAATTTATTTAATATGTAGAAAGAGTAGATTAATTCAGAAGGGGGATTTCCGAACCATGAACATTGCGCTTGTAGTAATTGATTACATATGAACTAATATTAACGAAACCGTATTTTTTTACGCCGTACCTTATTTTGTCAAATAATCTTGTTTTATGCATAATCGAAAAATAATTATATCGAGAGAGAATTTTTTTTAACATTATTTATGAAATTTTGAATTATTATTAGTTTTAAAAGTTCCTTTTATATCTATAACGAACGCTATTTTTTTTTTCAAGCTTCCGCAATATTGAAATATTTTCAAAATTAAATTTTTTAAAAAAAAGGGGAAAAGTGCAGTTGCGTGTTTACAGCATATTTTAAAGTTTATAAGTAAACCTTTGTGCTTTATTTCAGGTTTTCTTGTGGATCAAAAAAATTTATCTAGTCATTTTTGAATTATGTTAAAAAAAATTTGCATCCCATGGATATTCAAAAATTCTGAAACGATTTTGAAAGAATTTTTTTTAATGTATATACATTTTTTTGTTACTTAAAAACAACTATTAATAATTTGCATGCTTTGCGGAGCACGTTCACTAACTTTTCTTACATAAATTAATTTTCATTCAATAATTTGCACTCATTCAGTTTTATACACTGAAGAGCCAAAAAAAACTGGTACATGCATGAGTATGCAAATAATGAATATGGAGCCAATCAAAGTACAGCGCCGCGATCGGCAACGCGAATATAAGACAACGAGTGTCTAGCACAGTTCTTAGATCGGTTACTGCTGCTACAATGCCAGATTATACAGATTTAAGGGAGTTTGAACATGGTGTCATTGTCGGCGCACGGGAGATGGAACATATCATCTCCGACGAGATAGCAATGAAATTTGGATTTTTCACGTATGACCATTTTACGAGTATACCGTGAGTATCGGAAATCCACCAAAATCCCCAGACATGAACATTATTGAACATATTTGGGATGCCTTGCAACTTGATCTTCAGAAGATATCCCCACCCCCTCTTACTCCCACTGGTTTATGGACAGCCTTGCAAGATTCATGGTGTCAATTATCTCCAGCACTACTTCACACATTGATTGAATCCATGCCACGTCGTGTTGCGGCACTTCTGCGTGTTCGCGGGGGCCCTACACGATATTAGGCAAGTATACCAGTTTTTTTGGCTTTTCAGTGTATGATATCAAATATTACCTCATTTCCTTCTCTTCAGAGCAAAGACAGTGCCTCATTTGAATCGCACTTTCCCCAGTCTTCTTACTGCAAACAATTGTTGGCAAACCTCTCAAACCCAAGCCTTTGCATTCTCGAGTACGTCGCTGTATTTGTTGAGGATCACACATGTCTTCTGGCGTAGAACACGAACTCCAAGATGACCATTGAGACCATTCACCTGAAATAGATAGAAATAAACATAAAGATTATCATGAAAATAAAAAAAAACTATATAAATAAACAGAATGTTTACAAGTACATGCGTGTTTGTACCATATACAAATCCGCAATTCTAAAATAATCCAGGCTAAAATTGGCATACACACCTTCAAAGACACGGTGGATCTACCTGTTTACTTTAAAATTTTCTACGACTATCAGCCACATTCAGGCCTCATCTTTGCTCTGAATATAAGCAAAAATCCGTTTGAAGCGTGGGAAGAGGTTTTTCACTTCCTCAAACATACTCAAAATAGAGCTCGTTACGTAATAGAACTGGCATCGGAAACTAAATTGGACTAAAATTTTAAAAGAGACTGACAAAATTCTTTGGAAATTCATCCCTCCAACTGCCGCTTGGTGGGGCGGCTGGTGGGAGAGACTGGTTCGTACGGTAAAGGAGCTGTTAAAACGCACTTTGGGTAAATTTGCATTATCCTATGAAGAACTCTATACTTTAATTTGTGATTGTGAATCCATAATAAATTGTAGGCCCTTAACCTATGTATCAGAAGATCCGCAGGAGTTGATCCCTCTCACACCTGCTATGTTTCTTATCGAGAACCGGAGTTCCAATGTTGAGGATATTGATGAATTAAATTCATTAAGTCTTAATAAAAGAATAAAATATAGAAGTAAGTTATTAAAAGACCTACGACAGCGTTTTAGGAAGGAATATCTTGGACAGCTGGTGCAGAAACACAATGAGAAACGATCTCGTGAGCCCAGTGTAGGAGAAATAGTCCTGATAGGAGATGATAATAAAAAACGTTTATTTTGGCCCTTGGCTAAAATTATTGAGTTGATTCCAGGACCTGATGGGAAGATTCGCACTGTTAAACTTAAGACCCAGAATGGTTCAATTTTACGTCCAATTCAACGTATCTTCCCACTAGAAATTCAGGCAGATGAAATGAGCATCACTGTAGATAAGAAACATGGTGTAGATGAATCGAATTCTGGCGCTGAATGTAAAGTCAAAGGTGGCTCATCACCTGATAAGACCATAATGCAGCGATATACTTCCTCTGGAAGATGTGTAAGATCTCCCAAAAGACTTGATTTGTTTAATAATGTATTTTATGAGCTTGAGACTCACTCTGAGTTTCAACGGGGGGAGGATGTTGTGAAATGAAGTGCAGTGAGGAAAGTGTTGGCGATGCGCGCCTCTGTGCTTGGCGTCAGACTTTGTCATTCAATGTTATGATTCCGTCGGAGAAGCAGCTCTGACCAAGGAGCTGTTTGTTTTGTTGAATAAATGTTCATTTTGTATTTAGAAGGCCTATGTGTCACTTTTATTTCCAATGCACCCAGCATCTGGTAGATGCAGCCCATGAACGATCTGGAATTTCTCCTTCGGTTTCTAACATTCACGAAATCAAGTTCTGACAACCTAAGTGCTAGACAAACGTTACAGATCTCAAGGCAGCAAAATCAATTTTTTCTTCTTCTTATACGCAAAATAACATGTAGAACTAATAGAAAGAAGTCGATAGTTTTTGACATTACATATAAGTTTATAAGCTCAATAACAACCTGGACGCGGGGTTTCACCTGACTACTAAGAAGTATGGAAATTAATTGTGGGCCGGTGCGCGTCGGAAGTATTGTACAAAGACTCCAGCTATTGCTGGAATGCATACCTAGAACTTCCAATTCTCTCGTAACTTTAGCCAAGGAGGTAGCATAAAAATATTTAAGTGAGTAGCGGGAAAGGGGAAATGACTATAAGCATGGCATTTGTTAGTTTTGTTTGCATTTGCTTCTTTTCCCTTCGAAGCATATAAGTGAAGATGTCAAACAGTGTTGTCACTGATTACCTGGTAGGAGTAATGAAGATGTAGTTAAAGTGGCAATGGAAACAGGCAGAGGACACAAACAAGGTCTTGTTTCCACAACTTCATGATGACCACTGCAGACATCCTTCAATGAACCCTGGCATCGTCGTTTGCGTACGCGTATGCGAGTTGAATCACAGGTTCCATTCTTCATACAAGAACTCCATTCTGACCATTCTCCTGAAACATGCAATTGAAAATCGGAAAATCTCAACCATTTGTAGTTTTTTTTTCTTTTTTCATGTTTAAGTAAAAAATAAGTGAAGTATTCCCTAAACAGCATGGTGTGAGTCAGAAGGTCATTGAGAATAAAGGTCCACGATTTGGAGATCAATGGTATGATTATGGTAGTGTGGTCAGCACTACGAACAGGAAACCTTTACTTCACTGTCTAGCTTGTACCCATCTATCTAAGCTGGATGGACTTCACTGAAGATCGAACTCCAGTCCTGCTCGATGATAGCTCAGTGTTTTTTCCCACTTAGCTATTGCAGCTATTTTCATGCTTGAGATCAGATTAAAAATTAGATTAATTAAGACTTAAAAAGTATATTCGTTTACGGGGGATTATGGGGTTCTCAAATTTATCTCCAATTCGTGATTAGGAAGCGGAAAAAAAGAGGATATTTAAAATTAAGAATATAGTACTTAAAATAATAATCGTGAAATTTTATCAAAAATTTTGTTTGTAAATTTAGAGAAACTTAAGATTAAAAAAAAATCTGAACAAACTTTTGCGCGAAAAAAAGTGAGGATTTATTACAGTATGTTTGCTAAAATATCGGTGCTCATTCCCTTAACCAAATACGAAAGCAGATGTAAAAATATTAAATTTCAAAAATAATTACGAGCAAGAAAGAAATATCAGTATGCGACTCAAGCTAATAAAGCCTATTATACACAACATTGGAAGTCTCGTCTCAACAACAGCATCCGCGTCAATACAGGAGTTTCAAGCCGCTATGGTTCAAGGAATAGACGATTTATCGGCACAAGATCTTGAGTCACGCTCGAGAGGAATACCACAGTTGCCTCTATGGAAAAAGATGACCTTCGAGGGAACAGAGGCTCAGTTCAAACCAAGTTGCGTAAAGACGACCTAGCAATGAACAAGGGCTGCACGCAGCACAGCCGGCGTGCCACACTCTAATCCATTGGAACGCCCTCGGACTGGATGTCAGATACGAACGTTCTGGTGTACAAGTAAAGTCCTGTAGTGGACTGATTGTTAAGACACGGTTCTCAGCAAATCCCCGAAAATCAAGCATCACTGGTTGCGGTCAGTGTGCAGGTGGGTGACCACTTGGATCAGTCTGCGTAGGGACTGAGGGTGTGCGGTATTGGTCCTCGTTAAACTGTTCTACCGTAAAGTGCTCGACTTCTCGTGCAGGTCGTCGGGCTACCGAAGCGGGGGTGTCATCCTCTCTGCAGAGGATCAAAATTGTGATGGCATGTCTTCAGAGCATCCTCCGGGATGTTTCCCAGACCGTCGCCAATAGCCTGTTGTGCAGCTCTAGTGAGAAGTAAATGAATTGCAATAACAATAGCGTACAATGCAATAACAATATTGTTGTTGTTGTTCATTTTCGTCGCACTAGAGCTGCCCAATGGGCTATTGGCGACAGTCTGGGAAACGTCCCTGAGGATGATCCAAAGACATGCCACCACAATTTTGACCCTCTGCATAGGGGATGGCACCCCCGTTTCATTAGCCCGACGACCTGCACGCGAAGTCGAGCACTTTACGGTAGAACAGTTTAACGAGTACTAATACCGCACACCCTTGGTCCCTACGCAGACTGATCCAAGTGGTCACCTACCCGCACACTGACAGCAGCCAGTGATGCTTGACTTCGGTGATCTGCTGGGAACCGTGTCTTAACGANTGCTTATACCTTATAAACGATAAAGAAGTGCAAATATTTCATTCTGTATCTACACACATTTTTTCAATAAATATTTTAAGTAAGATTTGTACATCTTAGTCAATTTATTTAATATCTTTCTTTAGCAAAACATATATATTTTCAAATTTATAAATTGATTTAAATCAATATGCGTATGAAGTCTTGATAGAAATCTGACTTTCTGTGCCTTAAAGTAAATGAAATTCAAAAATACTATATCGCGATACATCGCTATATCGCGATGCAAAACTGACGATATATCACGATATATAATTTCTAATATCGCCCAGTCCTAGTTGTCATTGATTACCTGGTAGGAGTAATGAAGATGTAGTTAAAGTGGCAATGGAAACAGGGAGAGGACACAAACAAGGTCTTGTTTCCACAACTTCATGGTGACCACTACAGACATCCTTTAATGAACCCTGGCATCGTCGTTTGCGTACGCGTATGCGAGTTGAATCACAGGTCCCATTCCTCATACAAGAACTCCATTCTGACCATTCTCCTGAAACATGCAATTGAAAATCGGATAATCTCAACCATTTGTAGTTTTTTCTTTCTTTTTTCATGTTTAAGTAAAAAAATAAGGGAAGTATTCCCTAAACAGCCTGGTGTGAGTCAGAAGGTCATTGAGATTAAGGATCCACGATTTGGAGATCAATGGCATGATTATGGTAATGTGGTCAGCACTACGAACAGGAAACCTTTACTTCCCTGTCAAGCTTGTACCCATCAGTCTAAGCTGGACACTGAAGATCAAACCCCAGTCCTGCGCGATGATTTGTTGTTGTTGTTGTTGTTAACTTACGTCGCACTAGAGCTGCACAATGGGCTATTGGCGACGGTCTGGGAAACATTCCGGAGGATGATCCGAAGACATGCCATCACAATTTTGATCCTCTGCGGAGGGGATGGCACTCCCGCTTCGGTAGCCCGACGACCTGCGCGCGAAGTCGAGCACTTTACGGTAGCACAGTTTAACGAGGACCAATACCGCACATCCTCGGTCCCTACGCAGACTGATCCAAGTGGTCACCCACCCGCACACTGACCGTAGCCAGTGATGCTTGACTTCGGTGATCTGCTGGGAACCGTGTCTTAACGATCAGTCCACTGCGGGACCCTGCGCGATGACAGCTCAGTGTTTTTTCCCCACTTAGCTATTGCAACTCTTCTCATGCTTACGATCAGATTAAAAATAAGATTAATTAAAACTTAAAAAGTATATTCGTTTACAGGTGATTATGGGGTTCTCAAATTTATCTCTAATTCGTGATTAGGAAGCGGAAAAAAGCGGATATTTAAAATTAAGAATGTAGTACTTAAAATAATAATCGTGAAATTTTATCAAAAATTTTGTTTGTAAATTTAGAGAAACTTAAGATTTAAAAATAAAATCTGAACAAACTTTCGTGGTAAAAAAAGTGAGGATTTATTTCAATGTGTTTGTTAAAATATCGGTGCTCATTCCCTTAACCAGATAAGAAAGTAGATGTAAAAATATTAAATTTCAAAAATAATGACGAGCAAGAAAAAATTATCAGTATGCGACTCAAGCTAATAAAGCCTATACACAACATTGAAAGTTTCGTTTCAACACAACAGCATCCGCATCAGTACAGGAGTCTCAAGCCTCTATGGTCAAAGGAATAGACGACTTGTCGGCACAAGATCCTCAGTCACGCTAGAGAGGAATACCACAATTGCCTCTATCGAAAAAGGAGACATACGAGGGAACAGAGGCTCAGTTCAGAGCACTGAACACAGAGCTCAGAGCACTGAACAACGTAAAGACCACCTAGCACTGAACAAGGGCTGTACGCAGCACAACCGGCCTGCCACACTCTAATCTATTGGACTGCCCTCGGACTGGATGTCAGATACGAACGTTCTGGCGTACAAGTAAAGTTCCACAGTGGACTGATCGTTAAGACACGGTTCCCAGCAGATCACGGAAATCAAGCATCACTGGCGGCAGTCAGTGTGCGGGTGGGTGACCACTTGAATCAGTCTGCGTAGGGACCGAGGGTGTGCGGTATTGGTCCTCGTTAAACTATTCTACCGTAAAGTGCTCGACTTCGCGTGCAGGTCGTCGGGCTACCGAAGCGGGGGTGCCATCCCCTCTGCAGAGGATCAAAATTGTGATGGCATGTCTTCGGATCATCCTCAGGGATGTTTCCCAGACCGTCGCCAATAGCCTGCTCTAGTGAGACGTAAATGAACTGCAATAACAATAGCGTATAAGCGAAAGTAAGTTTTTTTTTACTTATACTTTCGTTTCTTGTTTCGTTACTTTGATTAAAAAAAGAAGAAAAAACGTTAAAGTATTGCTACGTTGTCGTAAAATAGAGAACTGAAATTATTAGCAAAAGTATCAGTCGTAGAAGCTTTGATATTTATGCGATGGATCCACTTGAATCAGGTCAAAGTGATGTCAATAAGTGAGGGAGAGACAGATTTTGTAAACAATAATCATTGCTTAAAGCAAGAATATATATGTAAGGAACAAAATCAAAGATAAATGAGATGCCACAGTAAGGAATTTGAAGATTTTGTTGTCGTTAAAAAAAATTAAGGAATGGACCATTCTAAACGTTAGCGACAGCAAGAAAAAAGGAATCGAGAAAGATTAGGAATTAGTGCATTAAAAACAAAACAGCATTTCATACCTGATTCGCTTAAATTTTCAGAGGCATTCTCACTGGTTTCCATTTTCATAGCTGTGGGGTAACAAAAAAAATCTTAGTTAACTAAATAATTCTCAGATTAATTGATTAAATCAGGATGTTCTCATAAAATAATCTTTAGTGTTTTTATTTTAACCAAAATTTATCATTAAAGTCTAGATAGCTACTATCTAGACTTTAATGATAAATTTTGGTTTTAATTTTATTTTATAATCGATGTTGAACAGCCGACTTATTTTTGGATTTATGGTTATAAGTGTTTAGCACCATAACCTTAAAATTTTGAACCAAACACTGAAGACAAAGAGAACTTTTTGATCAACTACTGGGGCAAACTATCCTTCATGATGGACCGTTTAATGCAATTAACCTGTATTTACGTTGCAATGAGAGTAAAACTACGAAGCCTTCCATGATTAACCCGACGGCAAGAGGATTCAAACCCCTGATTAGTCTACCAATAATTGGAAATAGCTAGAAATAAAAAGTAAACTACTAAGTATTTCGTATGTTAACCGATGCATGAAATCGCCAAAGATAAAATTTGTAATAATAATGTTGCCAACTTTAACAGCTTATTATTTGACATAATTTTGATATTTTATCGTTGTAATTTTTTGATGGAAAGTTACACATTTTGCCAGTCAGAAGCAATCATTGTAAGCTTCAAAAATTATTTTAAAAAATAATTTATTTTATTAAAAAGAGAACTGTCTACATTCGAAACATCAATATTACTCGAGCTATTTTATCAATTTATTATCGCTATTTTACTTTTAATTGTATGATTTTCTTACCAGCAAATCGAACTGTGTGAACATCAATGTAGAACATTCCTGGGGGAAGAATTCCTTTTCCTTCTTCTAAAGCACGTACAAAGGCAAAACCAACTCTTTGTGCTCCATCCGGTAGAGGTCGCTTCAGGTGCACTGTACACTGGACAATAACACTGCCATTGCTAAATTAGAATAACCAATATTTTGATTTGTGAAAAATATTAGTTGAATTTAACAGAATGCAAGGAAGAAAAAAAGCTCTAAACAACGTTTGATCTAATAATCGGATTTTCATGTACTGTGTGGGACTCAATCTGAATGATTCAAGAGCCTCGTCTTAAATATGCCATATAATTTGCGCCAATAAGTTACAAAATCAGACAAAAAAAATATACACTTTCTGTAAATAAATTTACCTCTTCTTCGACTGATTCGTATTCTTTGCATTAACCTCAAAATCTATTTAAAAAGTCGTATATGTAAAATTTCGATTTCTCTAGTCGAATCGATTTTCGGTTCGACTAAAGAAATCTATCTGAAACTAAAGACAATATTTCGTACAAATATTGTCTTTAGTTTCAGGTGAGGCTCTCAAGCAATCAAGATTAAGTCCTAGTACTTGAAAATTCGATTGTTAGATCAAAAGTTATTCACGATGTTAAATTTTTATTTTATTTCGTTCACTTACATGTCGTAAACTTATTGAATTATACGGGTCTTAGCTCACATCTACAGTCATTTTGCTATACATCATGCTAATCGGAAGTCTCCAGCAACTTTCAATCCGCATGACAGCTTTTAGACTAATTACGATAAGTCCACTCACATTTGGAGTAAATATAGCTCGATTTATTTCGAGCTATACTTGCAATAAGTCTACAACGTTCACTGCATTAAGCTTAATCAAATTCAGACTGAGTTTACTCGAACATTTTCTAACAGATGTTAGGACAAATAAGCTGCTTGTAATGAACCTAAAGAATACTAAGTTCAATCGGAAATACAGAGAATTATTATATCCAATCAGCCTTGCGCTTTGTAAAATGGCAGTGATGTTTTCAAAGAGCAGGGCTTTTCAATTAGCTTGCGTCAAACTATTTGAAATTCTATAATGAATAAAATTAATTTGCCAGACACAAATGAATATTTTAATAGAAAAAAATAATATAAAAATGGAAAATATAATAAATAAATTATTATATTATCTCAATTTAAAAAATAAGTAATATAATAAATAATATAAAATAAATAAGTAATATAAAATTTATAATAGAAATTATTTGTTCTTCAAGAAAGGGAATTTAGTATAAGTTTTTTAAACTAATCGTCCATGATTATTTTAACAGTTTTTATAGCTGAAAACATTTTAGTTTTTGCAGAGAATTTTTCTAAAGAAAAGTATTTAAGACAAAGCTTATGATTTTTGTAACACGAAATGTATCGTTTTTGTTTTTGACGTTGATTTTGGTAAAGAAACGATCAACGGTATTCATTTTATTTTATAGTGGACAGTATTAATTAAAAACTAAAAATGATAGTTTAATAAAATCATCCTTATTATTTCCTTTTTCTTTTTTTTTGTTTTTTTGAAAATATTAAAAAATAAGCAAATGTTATTTTGATTAATAAGAAAAAACCTTTGGTTCAATCTTCTAATTGTGAGGGGGAAAAAAACGATTATATTAAAAAAAAATTAAAAAATTAATTTTTAAAAAAGCAATTGATATATAATAAAGTAGTAAAGAAAATAAAGTAATAATATGAAAGTAATAGAGGAAAGTGATAGATTAAAGTAATAAAGTAGTAGCACCAAACGTTTCGTTTACTCTAAATATTAAACCCTGTTCCAAAAAAATAAATAAATAAGTAAGTAAATAAATAAAATGAAGGATCCTTACCTGAACTGAAAATCATTGCTGGTATTGTAAAGATTTACCAAAGGACTATCCATAAAAAGAACATCAAGCTATAAGAAATAAAAATCGAAATTATTAATTATTTTTTGTATACATACATTTTACAGAACTACACACATATTTTTTTTTTTTATTATTTTAAAGAGCTACTTCCAACCAGATTTATTTCGCCCATTTTGCCTATTTTTTAGGAAAACTTAGGGCTGAAAACAAAGTTAACTCAAAGAACCATTGACTGACTTGCAAATAAATTAGGTCAGCAGGCTTGCCCGTGTGGCAAGTAGCATTAGAAACAACAACAACATCAAACTAGGTTTGTTGTAATATTAGCTAGAGTGTTTACAATTATTGCTACTCAGAGACACGGGTAATAGAGTGCTCGCCTCCCAATGAAGTGACTCAGGTATGATTAACAGCAATCGCTGGGCAATACGAATTTCCCTTCCGGCTCGCTACCGCCCGCTGACGTATAATATACTCAGTGATAGACAAAATATGGGTATTCTCTTGCAGTTGCGCTAACAGTGACAGGTTTTCCTGATTTTCCATGTGAAGCAAATATGAATTAGTTCCATCAAAAAAAGTCCTCCATGAAGGCTAGTTTGTCCCAATGCTTGATCCAGGAGTTCCCTTGTGTTCTGGGTTGGAGNAATAAACAAATGTTATTTTGATTAATAGGGAAAAACTTTGATTAAATCTTGAAATTGTGAGTGGAAAAAATCGATTATATTAAAGAAAAATTAAAAAGTATAATTTTTAAAAAAGCAGTTCATATATAATAAAGAAAATAAAGTAATAATATGAAAGTAATAGAGGAAAGTGATAGATTAAAGTAATAAAGTAATAAAGTAGTAGTACCAAACGCCTCGTTATATATTATATGTAATTCTTAAAAAATATTTAATTATCTAAATATTAAACCCTGTTCCAAAAAATAAATAAATAATAAAATAAATAATAAAATAAATAAATAAAATAAAGGATCCTTACCTGAACTGAAAATCATTGCTGGTATTGTAAAGATTTACCAAAGGACTATCCATAAAAAGAACGTCAAGCTATAAGAAATAAAAATTGAAATTATTAATTATTTTTTGTATACATACATTTTACGGAACTACACACATATTTTTTTAATTATTATTTCAAAGAGCTACTTTTAACCAGATTTATTTTGCCCATTTTGCCTCTACTCTGAAATATTTTTAGGAAAACTTAGAGCTGAAAACAAAGTTTACTCAAAGAACCATTGACTGACTTGCAAACAAATTAGGTCAGAAGGCTTGCCCGTGTGGCAAGTGACATTAGAAACAACAACAACAAATTATGTTTGTTATAATATTGGCTAGAGTTTTTACAATTATTGCTACTCAGAGACACGGGTAATAGAATGCTCACCTCCCAATGAGGTGACTCGTGTACGATTAACGGCGATTGTTGGACGATACGAATTTCTCATCCGGCTCGCTACCACCCTAAGTGCTGACGTATAATATACTCAGTGATAGACAAAATATGAGTTAGAATTCTCCTGCCGTTGAGCTAACAGTGAGAGGTTTTCGTGATTTTCCACGTGAAGCAAATATGAATTAGTTCCATCAAAAAAAGTCCTCCATGAAGGCTAGTTTGTCCCAATGCTTGATCCAGGAGTTCTCTTGTGTCTTGAGTTGGAGTCAAAATTATAAGAATATGGCGTCGGATATTAATGGTCGTAAACTAAAAATTGGTATGGCTTTTCAACACTTGTTGTAAAATAAAATATTTAAGATTGTAGATTATTAACGGGAATCTAACAATTTAACGAGTGCCTATGAAATATACGTTATTTTAATAAATAAAAAAAATTTCAACGACTATACAAAAAAAAGAACAAGTGTATCTATATTCAATGTATTTAAAAATTATTTGTTAATAACGAGCAAATTATTTGATGAATGATTCTAATACTGGGGTGGATTTCACATTTCAGGTATTTATGATACCCAATAAAATATTATTTTTTATCATGGAATTTTAAAGTTTGCTGGCTTAGATGTTTATGATTTCCAAAAATGAATACGATTAAAAGTTATTATGTACCTACATTATTGTTAGAATTTGTCAAATGCTTCAATTTCTATAAATTTTAAAAAAGAGCAATCCTTGAAAACAGGCTGCCCAAAATGACCAAGTCAAAATTCTCTTTTATCTTGCAGTAATTTCTAAATCGGAAAATAACTACAAAACACTTATATATTTCAAAAAAAATGCATTTTTTTTATAAAAAAAAACTAGAAAATATCTTTGAATTTGTTTTACATTTTTGTCTTGACCAAAAGAAGTATCTGTTACCAAAGATCTGTTTTTGTTGAAGATGATCTGTTTTTTAAATGGTTCAGTAATTTCAAAAATACTTCAAATTTGAAAATCTGCCACTTGTATGATTTTTATTACTGTTGTTACGATTGGTATTATTATTACGAAAGGAATAAACCTTACAGAATGCTTGAGTTCAGCTACCAATTGCAAATGCTGTTCAGACGTCTTCTCGGTTAGTTCAATCTCGAATTTTCTATTCATAATTCGAAAATGAGTGGCCACTCTATTTATACCTATGATATCACCTAAAGAAGAAAAATTAATATATTTTTTTATTTATTTATTCTGCTAGTGAGAAATGACAAATATTGTAAAGAAATACATTATATTGTAAAGAAATACAAAAACTGAAAAAAAAATTTCCCGAACTAATACATTAATTAAATATTTTTTAAGAAATAGTTATATGTAATAAACAAATTAACTGCTGTTAAACTATTGCTACTAGTAACTCAATACAAAAAAAAAAATGTAAGGATAATAAAATTGCTATTGTGTGAAGAAATATAACAATTGCGTGTACATTTTTCAAATTTACGTGTAGCGCTATTTATTATTTCATTTAGCATCATACAAATATAGAAAATGTCTCAAAGCTAATCGAATCCGACCAATAGTATATTTAAAACTGCCTTCATTGAATTTCCTATAATTTATAGCAATTTAATAACTTTACAAGCTATAGCTAAGTACCATGTAGGAATTTGCTCACATTTAATAGCATACAAATGACAGTTGAAAGATATTGAAAACTCCATAAAAAATAAATAAATAAAAAAAAGAAAGAGCAACAAAACGGCAAGTTATTTTTGCTAGTAGTTTCCTGTTAATTATTATGATTTTACTAAGGGGATTCAGCTCCGTTTCCCGCTCGCTTCGTTCATAAATTTTTTTCTGCTCAGCATTTTTGTTTCTGACAAAAAATAGATTGTTATATCAAAATTAAAGCTTCAAGTAAATTATCCCAAAATCTTTTGACACATTAACATTTTCGTTACCAATTTTACTTGGATAATTTTTAAAACCAATCATATTCCTCGATTGTTACTGTAGTTTCCTCAGATTTGTTTAAACAACTATTTTACTTTTTTTTATAGTTATTTAATTCTATACAATAAAATAAGGAATAATTATTACTAATTTCATTGTAACAGTAAAATCTCGCATTCCTCAATTATTTACAGTCGCAAATTATTTACATAATTATAAATTATTTACAGTAAAATAAGGTATGAATAAACTATTTACAGAGCAATAACGCTCAAAATAACGCCCAGTAACAGCAAGTAAATGTAAGTAATAATTAATTAGTATTAAGTTAACTAAGTAATTAACAGTTAAGCAACTTTTATTAATTTATGTTGATAACAGTCAAAGATGACTGAATTTTTTTTGCTTGTTATTGGTCTAATAATCTCATTTTTCTATCAATAAGAATGCATCGACAACAAACAGAAATGGTAAAACGACGGTTTTAGATAATTATCATATCATGAATTACCTATCGAGATATTTGCCAAACTGCCTCTATAATAAGTAACTAGATTAATGTTTTGTTATCCTTCAATTAAAATTTTCATAATTCATTGTTTCGCAAAAAGTGGGAATAAGGGTTAAAGTAGTCTATTTTCAATAGCTTAGGTTTCATTGGAAACTTATTCTCACAGAAAAATCGATTTAACGTTCATCCATAGTATTAGTACATCATTGAACCATAGCCTCGAGCAAACTTGTTGCACTTTTTATAAGTTAAAATGAGCTGCATTTCATTGAATTTAATATAGCTTAATTTGCACTATACTATGGTTCAACTTGGATCCATATTAAGGTTGCTGTAAATAAAAGCAATGTTATGGTTCGACACGATTAAAAATTTTCAAAAATCTATACACTGCCCGAATTTATAAAGTTAGCCTGATACAATGCCCAAAATTTTGATAATTATAAATTCCCTATTTCTCTATATCTCTATTTAAGACTTTTTCACGACATCATTTTCCAATTACAGCTTAACCTAAACCATACCATGTTACCTATATGATCCGAAATGCAATAACCTCTATATATAATTGGGCATTGTTTCTGGAAAATCTAAATCTGCAATGTAAAATAAGGGTTTACATCTAAGTCACTTATGGAAATCAATTGATTACTGCCTAGACAAAACTACAACTCATTCATAACAAATACATTGTAAACACACACACATCCTTTACAATATCATTTTAAATTTGTACCTTAAGCTTTTAATAAAATACTACATAACCATTTATAACATACTTACTTTCATTTTCGAAAGGAAACCATGGAAAACCAAATATAAGTCCTCCCTTAACTGAAAAAGAAACAAGCAATTTCAGCCACTAAAGAAGTTTTGTTAACTAACACAGCATTAGCAAATTCAATTCCTCCCAAAGATTGTCTGTGCGTTATAAAATGATTGATAATTAAATGATTGGTTGATTGTTTGTATGTAAGAAAATGGTTGATAATTAATAAACAGCTAGAATGCAAATTTTAATCTTAAAACACTTGTAAAGTTGTACTACTCTTGTAAGAAGCGTTCGGCGTTCAGCCATATGTTTGGTACTAATATACACATATTGATATACGGTTGAAGTCGCTTATCGTGAGTGTGAAGAGGCAGCAACATTGTCTAGTTATAATCGAAAGTTTATTCATGCTTACTAAATTATAAATAAAATATTTACTTTATTTATTTGTTATTTCCGTACAATATTTAAAAAAAGATGGTTATTTTGATATGAACTGTTTTATTGTCTCTTTGTTTGTGTCATTGTTCTTTGGATAGAACTCAAGGCCCGAAAAACATCGTCAACCCTGCTTTCGTAAAAATTTCATGTGTTTGCTGGATTTGTAACTCATACTAACTTTCACTTGTCATCGGAATGTTAAACAAATTTTTTCAAGTAAGAATTAGAAAACCTGGAGAGATTGGAGTACATAGACATTTTATAAATTACAAAAATATTGCTCGCTGAAACCGGGATCAGCTTTTAACGGGGTGTGCTCGTTAAAAGCGATTTCNTACTGGGAAAAATTAATACCTGGTATCAATTTTTTTGTAAAGAAGCTGAAAATTTCTCAATTTTAGCTCCCACTATCGATTTAATTTTATATCCGTCACCTTCGAATCCATATATATATATTTTCTTAGAAAAAATAAAGCAAACATAATAATATAAATAAAAAAATATATATTAATATCATGACCACTTTTTAATTTTTTTTAGAAGTATGTGTAAACCCTGTTTTTGGTGAAAATAGCCTGCGTTTGCGATACATTAAAAAAAATGCCTGAAAACTAAATTGATTAACCATATGACAACAGAAATCTAAAATTATGTTTCGTGGACGTGAATCTAATCCATGATTAGCTATCGCTAAGTATATTTTTCATTAGCACTATGGGAGAAGAAATTCTACTTCTTTGGATAGGACTCAAGGCCCGAAAAACATCGCTAAACCCTGCTTTCGTAAAAATTTCATGTGTTTGCTGGATTTGTAATTCATAATAACTTTCACTTGTCACTGGAATGTTAAACAAATGTTTTCAAGTAAGAATTAGCAAACCTGGAGAGATGGGAGTATATAGACATTTTATAAATCACAAAAATATTGCTCGCTGAAACCGGGGTCAGCTCGTTAAAAGCAAGCTCTGCTCCAATAGACTTAACATAGTACCAAACAAGTATTTCCGATTCGTCAGTTAAATCCGAGTTCCTGTCAAATCAGGGCTCGTTATAAGTAAGTTCAACTGTATTAATATATTTACCCTCTCAAGAACCATATACAGGCTTACCCAAAAGTGAAACATGATTGCTGAGTTTGTTGACCTCTGTTTAGGAAACTAGGTATCAATCTATTCTGTTTAGGAAACCATTTCAATTTCATTTAAAAAATAAACTAGTGTTAGTAATTTTATCTACACACTTTGATTACGTTTGATATTGTTGTAATATTGTAGTAACGAAATTTTTGTAACGTTGTTTTCTTTGTCCTCATTTTTGAAAAGGAATCAATATATATGTGTGTGTGTATAGATAAAGACGGTTCATCTATATATTAAAAAATGTGTTACTATACCTGCGTGCACAATAACAGCAACGCCACAAACAACAAGAGCCAAAATGGCAACCATTGCTAAGATAGTAGTCAAACGATACCATGGGGCTTGAATAGATTGGTTGCTTGAGGATGGTTTCCTGAAATCCAACCTCCAAATATTTAAACCAGGAACTTTTGTCAGCTTGGCTCCATTAGAATCTCCAGGAATGCATCTCGATATAAACTTTTGCTTTTTTGTATCAGCTCTTGCGACTTTCCTTGCTTCCAAAGGATCATAATAGGCTGGATTATCAAGCTGAAATTATAAAGAGTAAAAGCACTCTGAAGAATATAATGTTTACGAATATAAGATTTTAAAATAGGTGTACTTATGAATCATGTAGTTTGAGCATTTATTCTCAATTGTATATTGTTTACTATATTCCGTTCATTTTAATTTTGTTTATTTTTAGAAAGAAAAAACTTTTCATGCACCTTACTTTATTTAAAAGAAGGAAACTAGCAGGCTTCGATGGTCAGTAGCTAGGCCTACACTTATAGTCACTATTAATGAAGTGACTTAATCTAATTTCCGCTAATTTTAATACGCCATGGTCTGTTGGCTCGTCTTCACAATCTCACCGCTGCATGTAGCTCTAATGTCTTTGTTCTCCCTCTCGGAATCACAGCTTTGTGGCTCCCTGTTAATTAATCCTAATTCGTAAGAAGTGAAAGGTGCAAAATTGGATTGCACATTTAATTTGGTATTATCCCGAAAACGACAGCAAGAAAACTATCCCGAGAAAGAAGAATAATAACAATCGAGGGGGATCGAAGAAAAAAAAACTTTTATTCGACGGATTTGGATTTTTGGCTATATAAATAGGGCTCGTAGCCGCCATTTTGAAAATGTGATCCTAATAGTTTAGTTAGGAAAGTTGTCTAAAATATTAATCCTTTAATTAATTTCTCTTCTTGCACGTTTCCCATGAGATATTTTAAAGAATTTTTTTAAAAAAATTGCACTCAGTTATAAAGTTCATTTTTCCAAATATAATTCCTTATAAAAAAAAATTATTAATTATTTATCGTTTTTTATTAATCATTATGTTACTTAATGAAGGATGGTGAATTTTTTAAATATCAAATCAAGCAAATTTTCACTTAATTTTAAACTGTGTTTTAAATTACAAAATGTGAAAAATGAAGATTTAAAGAAAGCGGTTTTTTTTAAAAAAAATTTATAGCTTAAGAAATATTTTACTGAGATTTATTTGTAATATTTATAATTTTTTACTGTTTGAGCTCCAATTTTATATTTCGTCTCTTAAAGTTGCATTAGTTTTAATTATGATTTTTTAAATAATTGCTTCTTTAAATGATTATATATTAATTATGAGATGTATTTATTTCTGTTTTAAAAGTATGTTTCAGTTTCCAGATAATTTAAATTGCTGTAAAATTAGTAAAAATATTTCTTCCAAAAAATACAGGAATGGTTTCCAATTTGACAATGAAAGGAACTTTTTCTTCTGACGTGAATTTTAATATTTGAAGAAGGGAAAAATAAATCCACATTAACTGCTCTTTTTTTTCCTTTAAGAAATTTCTTTTATTTATAAATAAATGTCTCAAACATTTAGGTAACACTTCCTTGAAATATTATACTTCTTTCAGAAAAATGTTTACATTGCCAAATAGGAAAGTAAAGTAGTACCTCTCAAAAAATGACAACGGAATCTGATTGTCACTAATTGTCAAAACGGAAGCCCTCTGAATAACTTTTGTTTTAATGATTGAATTATTATATTTTTTACAGAAGAGACATAAAATATGCTAATAAATGCTAACTGCTAATAAAATTACGAAATCAGACACAAAAGTGTTCTTTCTCTAAACAAGCATTCAGAGAAATCTGGATTTTTATAATTTCCAAAATACGGGAGGGGCAGTCGCAATTTGGAAAATATGGTCCCAAAACTATAAGCCATTTTATGTTAATTCAACTTTTTACATATTTCGCTTCATCTTGGGAATTTTTTAAGAGAATCGAAATATTTTGGGCATATATTTATAAAACTCCGTTTCCTAGGAATGTTTATTCCATATCATAAATATTTTATTATACTTAGTTATTAGTTTATATTATTTAAATTTCTATTGATCGGAAAGTTTTCAATTGTAAGGCATACAAAGTTTAACATAATTTAATACTATGTAGTTTTGAAAGCATCAATATCTGAACGAAATAAGACGAGTTATTAGTTATGAAAATCTTTTGTTCAATTTACATAGTTTAAAATGATGTAAAAATTATTATACCTAGAAATTCAAAAAAGTTTCAAACAATATTAAACATAGTAATAATATTAAATTTATTTATTGAATTGATTATTTTTGGATACTCCGTTTTTTAAATTGAGCGCTAAAACTTTTTGATATGCTAAACAAATTTCCAAGTTGCTCAACAAGTAAATTAAAGGGCACAAACTTTCAGTCTGGTTAAACTTATGGAGACATATTTCCCAAACAGCGAGAACCAATATATTTTTAGAGTTAAAATTATGAATCCGACGAAAAAAGTAATGTTTATTCAGAGAAAATACGCGTGTCTGATTTCGTACTCAGAGTATAGTATTTGGTATGAGAAAAATTCGATAATTCGAACAAAAGTTATTTAGCATAATTTATTGGATGAACTTATATAGATGAAATAATATGAATAAAACCAATAACGATAAATAAATATTAAATTTCAGTTCATTTTAGTATTTATATCTTTGATGATTATACTAAGTGCGAATTTTGTTGTTTAGTGATGGTCATGCGTGGAATTACCGATGATAACTCTCATAATCACTTTCTTTTAGATTAATGCGTTTATGATTTTGAAATATAAATTATTTTGAAGTCTTGGCATTAATATCAGAACTTTTTTAATATTTTTTTACTATAATAGACACAGAAATGTGAACCGGTGCGTTTAGAGGAGTTTTATGTTTTATTTTTAAGGATGTGGTCGCTTTGAGAGTTGAAGTATACCACACTGCTTAATGCTATCGGATGATAGAATCTAAATGCTTAACCTTTAGCCTTGTGAAATTTTGAACCCAACCCAGAAGATAAGAGAACGCTTAATTCAAACAATGGAGCAAACTCGCATTTTAGGTGAACATTTCACTGGGTTGTAGGTACCTGGAAAATATTAATACCTGGCATCAATTTTTTTGCAAAGAACCTGAAAATTTCTCAATTTTAGCTCCCACTATCGATCTAATTTTATATCCGTCACCTTCGGATCTATGTATATATATATATATTTTCTAAGAGAAAATAAAATATTCTGCTAGCTACAAACATAATAATATAAATTAAAAAAATATATTAATATTATAACCTCCTTTTTTATTTTTTTAGGAGTGTGCAAACCCTGTTTTTTGTAAAAATAGCCTGCGTTAGCGATACATTAAAAAAAAAAAATGCCTGAAAACTAAATTGATTAACTATATGACAACAGAAATCTAAAATTATGTTTCATGAACGTGAATCTAATCCATGATTATCCATCGATAAGTATATTTTTCGTTAGCACTGTGGGAGAAGAAATTCTACAATCAGTGAATAGTATTCAAATCAATTAACCTTCACTAGGATTCGAAGCTCTTATGCTAATAGGTTTTAGTTTTTTAAAGCCGAACTAAATTATCTTTAAAAAGGCAAGACAATAAAAATTGTCAACTATAAGCAACCAAACACAGAAACTCAAAATTTAACCACTGACAAATTATGGTATTAATTACTGTCTCTAAACCTTAAATTACTCATACGAATGAAAAGTTCAACTTACCCCTTTTTCATAAAATTCGGGAAAAAATAAACCAGGTTGAATATCAATATTAGGAATATCCTTTTTCTCGGGTTCCTTAAAAGTATCGCCGAACGATACAGGTATAATACAGACATTATTGTTTTCCTTATCCAAGGATAACTTTGGAAATTCCTTCTCTTTGGACATTGTCTTCATTATGGAGGACGTATAATGGTAAAATTAAAATCTATAAGTTTTCAATTGCTTAACATTGAAGACAGTTTGTGGTAAAGTAAGAGTTTTCAGTTCCTCGTTAGGTACATTGAAATTGTTCTCGAGTTTTCGGTTGTTTTCACACAACAACAAAAAAAAACTTGCTCCAGGATATTGGGAAGATGAAAACAAAACACTGTCCGCAGTCGCAATTTTGTTTTCACACATGAGAAGACACATTGTTTAGAGTTACGGTCATATTTCCGTGATTTCTAACAAGGGGATGGCTAATTTAAAATCCTGTTTGATTGTTATGAACATCGCCAAATTAGTTCTTAAAAGGAACGTGTACTATTAATGCTGTTATGGGACTAATACGAAAGTAAATTATATATATA